CCATCTTCATTTTTTGTAGTATTCAATTTTTTTGTAATATTCTTGTTTATCTGTGAAAGACTGGGCTTGGGAAGAAAACAAGTTTAGTGTTCTCACTGTTGAAGCTTTCTTGAAACAAACAAAACCAGTATTGACAGTTTTAGGCATTACAAAGCATAAATTAGAATCCAAAATAATAATTTAAATATTCTTTGTCTTCTGGTTTTTGAACCCTTTTGGCCACACCTGACATATTTCTAAGCTTTTGTCTATAATCGTGTAAACCCATTCACACAGAATCAGAGAATTCAGAGAACTCATGATGTCATGAAGTTTGCAGTAAAACTAAGGAACTTTACCACCTTGAGACACTTTTTGAGTGAGTATAATGGGCTTTTGATTTAACCTTTATAGGTCTGCAGTTTCATAACTGACCAGGAATGTTGCGTCTCCAGAGACCAATGTCCTATGTCCAGGCTTCTCTTCCTAACTACTTGTTTGGGGGACGGCTGGCTACTCTCGCATGGGGAAAGAGGAGATGCATTAATACAAACAAAAAGAGAGTGGAAAGCAGACAATTCTTAGCAGAGCTAATAGTATGGGGAAGAGGTTCTGCCTCGTTATCAAGCCTGTTACAATGTTTAGTGTTGGTGCTTTGGCAGGGCATTGATTTATCCAGTTATCGTGCAGTCAAATGTTCATCCTCTGCTGGAACAGGGCCTTTTTTCTAAGCAATGGGCCAAATGTCCTTCAGAACCTCCGGTTTCTGCTATAGGGTGTCTTAGGAATGTGAGGCATTTTAATCAGTTTTAGATCAGTGTAGTCTGGACAGCAGGACACATGTGATAGGTTAAAGAAATTTCTATTTTTTGTTTTAAGACGTTCCTCTGACCTGCAAGAGGAAGGGCTCTCAAATTCCTGGCCTGTTTAGGGTGGTTTGTTTCCCATGGTATCTTTGCCAAGTGCTTTCTAATTATGGAATGTGTGTTATTCTGTAGTTCTTTTGCAAGGCAGAAATAATGAATATTATAAAAATTCAGAAAAAAGATATGCATTGATAGATGAACTTGACATCTTTTGCTTTTGGAATAATGTAGATGTGATCCACATTGATTTTTGAATAGCATAAACCCAAGCCAGCATCTCTTACCTCCAGATTTATATTGTGCAGTGGAATCTGCACAGCAGAGGGGAAGACTGGTTTGCTGATGCCAGTTTCATGGGGCCAAACTCTTTTTTTCAGTAGAGCCACTGCTTGCGGGTGTAGCTTAGCAAGTCACGCACTGCTCTGTGAGCCTGTCGGAGCAGGGTTGACAGGAAAGGTTTCCAGTCCCCTTGCTTTGAATGTGAAATTGTATGCAGGGAATCAGCTGCTTATCAGCAACGAGCAGAGCAATCCCAGTGCTCTAATCCAGGGTTTATATGAGTCACTTCTAACTGGTGAGGCCTGGAAAACTTGATTCATACCTCTGCCTGTAGTTGCCTGTAGTAGTGATACAGACCTAGCCAGCCGTCCTCAGCAGAAATCACGGACAAGGGCTGGGCTCTATTGCTGGAAAGGAAGAGCCTGGTTTTATCACCTTAACAGTCTGGGATCAAGATCTTTTAAATCAAAATTATGTTGGTTATCTCTGCTTTCCAATTATTTTTTTTTTCCCTCCCAATTTAGGCTAACCCACATGTAGGAGTGTTTTCCTCACCAACAAGAGCTGGGCAGTAGTTTGACTACAGAAAAAAAAAGTTTTGAGTAAAGGTCTTCCCAGTGAGTAAATAAATAAAAGGGTTCTCCTGCATAAAAAAGCCAAGAAAACGTACTTCTGAATATTGGGCTCTTGTATATTCTCCTTTTATGTGGCATTTTCAGTGCCCAGTTGTGTTCTGAGAAGTGTTAGGAGGTGTAAACTAGGGGAAAGGTGAAGTTGTTAATGTGAAGATAACTCTGCTAATACATAACTTTAAAATTGGAACATGAGTTTTATTGACTCTGTTGTTTGGCTAGACTGATTTGAGAAATTACGATGGAGAACTGACATTCTCCTCCTGAAGAATTAGAGCCGCCAGGCCACAGCTCTAATTATACTTGGAAAACTCCTGGCTCAGAGCTTGCTGTTGTGATTCAGTAATGGCTAATGTGGCTCAGTTCGGGAAACGTAGCTTAGATTACCTTTGATCTTACCTGTGCTCCTGCACTGAGCAGGGCTTTGGGGTATTGTCTGTTTATTTCAATGCTCTGAAAGAGACTGATGCTAAACCCACCTCTGAAATGTGTCCTGAGGCTGCCTCCGTTAATAATTCACCTAACACCTCAGTTGGTTTACGATAAGAAGTGAATAAAAACCATGCCAAATAGTTGTGCAAGAATTGAGAGGTACTACGAATAATTTTTCAAAATGGAATCTAATGAGGGCAGAAGAGCTGGTGGCACCACAGCTCTCTTCAGAAGTGTTATCCAAGCTTCATCACAAATCCTTGTAACCGCTGGCACCTTCTTCCTGTAACGAATGACATCTACCACAGCGTGGGATCTCTGGGATCAATGCCTTGGGTCAGAGCTAATTAGAGAGGAGTGCTGCACTGAACCACTGACAACATCTGCTACATTTCTTGGGTTTTAAATAGCCTCCTATCCGAGTAGTGGCCATGCACAGTCTTGTTTTACTTTAAGAAGCTTTAAAGTAAAACAAGTAGCTTTTTGATGTAAATCTTTTTACTTTAAAGTTTGACTTTACCCTTTCTGTAATAGAATTTGAAAAGTATGCATTTTTATAAGAGAAAAAAAAAAACCAAAAAACAACACCCCTCTTTAAGCAGAGCTCACTCCAGATAGTGCCAGTCATGAAATACCAGCAGTCGAGCTTGGGAATGATTTCATGGCCCTGCATGTTCAATGGTTAGAGAATCTGCCTTTTGGTGCTGCAAAGCTTGGGTGATGACTGCCACGAGGGACCACTTTAAATGGATTCCAGCAGCTGAGATGCTTGTAAATGTTGGTTCTGGGCAGATATGTCGAGTAGGGCTTACTCAGTAGCGCTGCAGCAGTAGTGAACTGGTGATGATAGCTGACACTCAGCGTGATAGTGACTTCAGTGTGGTACCTAAATTTCAGAAGTATTTGAACAGATGTAAGAGAGAGTCTGCAGTAGTCTCTTTTCAGAAGATGACGCACAGCAGGAAAGATTATCTTCCTATCAGTTTTGATAAGGTTCTCGTGGAAAAGCAGTTGTTGTTTGGATCAGGCTGATGTTTGCTCAGTGCAGATGTGGCCGCCTGCATTTAGAGCAAATGACCTCTGAAAATTCAGCTGATGAGTTTGTAGTGTTAGACTAAGTTTGAGACCTCCTAACTGCAGGTGCAAGTTAGGTGTTTTGCCTTGTGTGTGTGGGCAGGGTCTTGTACGCTGTGGATAAACCTGCATCTAGTTTGTAGCCGTTTGCCATGCTCTTGGCTAATTGTGGAGTCCCATATTACAGATCACTTGGAGAGGGGTCCGTTAGGAGGGTGGTATAAAGGAGAAATGGGTGGCAATATGCTTTGTGCAGATTGTGATTATCTGTGTTGGGAGACTTGCAGACAGAAACCCATCATCTTCGTTAGCTGCTACGAGGCAGATCAAATGGCTGACTAATTTTTTAGTCACTGATGCTTGGAAATGGAAGGTCCTCTGGCTCAGGGCAGAGCTCATCTCCTGCAGGGGTCTGCCTGGCCTCCTGTGCAGCTGCCAGACAGCAGCTCTGTATGCTCATAATGTGAACTACTTGTGACCTGCAATACCTGAAGGGTGGCGTGCTTTGGCAGGGCTCTGTGCCAGGGCAACGTGCTATCTGTAACAGATCTATAGCTTTATTTGCTATACCTGTAATTCATTTTAGGATGGACACATAGCTTAGACCATCGAGGAGCAAAATAATTAATAGAATCATGGAATAATTTTAGGTTGGAAGGGACCTGTGGAGATCTCTGGTCCAACCCCACTTCCAAGCAAGGCCAATTTAAATCAGGTTGCTCAGGCATTGTCTGGTTGAGTCTTAAATATCTCCAAGGATGGAGTTTTACAACTTCTTGGGACCCCTGTTCTAATATTTGACAGCACTCGCTATGAAAAAAATTTCCCAATATCTCATTGGAATTTCCCTTCTTCCAGCTTGCGTCCATTGCCTCTCGTCCTTTCACTTTCTACCAAATGCTAGCAAAAGCTGCATCTACATTTTGATTTTTGTCAGAACGCCCTTATCTCTGGGTGGTGGTGGTTTTTCACTCTTGGTGTAGCTATGGCCATGAACTTTTTTGTGTGAGACCAAACCCTGATGGCCTCGGAGACAGCTAAATGTGCTACTTCTGTTTGCAAGGGCTGGAGGCTAAGGCCAACAGCGGCTTCCCTGTGTCCTACTAAGAAGGGTCTTGCTTGGTAGTGCAGGTGATTTTGTGACGAGGACCTCGGAGACCTCCATGTAGAGTGGGTGTTAGCCAATATGCTAAGTCCTTGCAAGGGCAGACAAGGCAAACTGCCTTACCCCTGGGCCACTCTTTGTGGTCCTTCGATTTGCTGAGAGTGACTGCAAGTGTAATTGTAAGCCCGGGAGATTTTGCTGTGGTTGGGGTGAGCTGGGAGTGGGTTCGGGGAGCCCTCTTGATGCTGCTGCTGCTGCTGCTGTTTCAGTGCAAAAACTTGCCGTAATGGAGCATATCACTTCCTGTCCTGTTTGCTGTGGTTTGGTGTGTTGGGCTCTGCACCAGGTTTTCCAGTGCCTGTGATTACTTTTCTTTCCATTTTTCCCTGTCATTGTCAGCGGGGACTCCGCAGGCAGGCTGCAGGCAGAGGACAGCTGACTTCTCTTGGACTGCCTCTCACGATCTGTGCACTTCGGTCTCTCCTCTTTGGGAGGGGAGGAGGGTTCTTCTCCCTCTCCTTGGAAAACGCCCTCTCCAGTATGCTCCAGTAGGAGCTGGTGGGAGGGAGGGAGTTCTGACTGCACCGAAAATGTCATGAAAAAAAAAAAAAGGCAACTGACAGAAGAGAGAACTTGTCCTCAGATTCCTGCTTTTTGCAGCAGCTTAAACTAAGTCTCTGCAAGTGCTGCGGGAGCTGGCAGGAGGCAGAAATGAAGTTCAGAGGCGCGGTAAGATTTATTCAACTGTTTTGGTGGTTTTGTAGCTTTCAGATGTGTATCTAGTGTGAGAAGAAGAGGGAGATACATTTTCAAAGTTTCAGCAGTAGCAGGAAACTGAAATGCTTCAGCTTGCTTTGCGAAAGACCCCTTCATTGGAAAGTTATGTGAAAGGGGTTGAAATAGGATAAAAAATCCAGGAGATGCGTGTTTTGAGGAGGAAGCCAAGGTGGGAGTTGAGAAAGTGCGAAGAGAGGGGGAAAGCTGTGGACTGTGTTAGGGGAGAAGAAAGGGTGGAGCTTTTGCTTGGGTGGAAGGGGCATGAGGGTGTGAATGTGCCGTACTGGTGCTGGGCTCTGCTTGTGTCCTTCCCAGGGACATGGGCTGCTTTCTCTGTGACTGCCACCCTAGGGAATGGCAGGAAATACCTGCTTAAGGACTCATTGCAACTCAGTTCCTCCAGGGTGTATTTACTTTAGCAAAACTTTGTCCGTGTTTTAGCGGCAACCAGAAAGCCTGAGTCTGCGTACTGCATTGCAGGACAACGACCAGGAGCTTAGAAAAATGAGTATGTGGCAAAAGATTGAGAAGACTAGGATTGTTACCTGGAAAAAGAGATGAATAAGAGAGGAGGAAAAAAAAAAAGTATACAGTAGTGCCACGGAGAAGGCAGATCATGAGCTCCCTTTTTCTGTGTTGTAACATAGGAAGAGGGATGTTCAGTTAAGTTAAAAGTTGCTAAAGAGATGCAAAGATTATTTTCATACAATGCATAACTGGGCCACGGAATTCACTGACATTGGAAGATGTTGAGGTCAAGAATGAGGGAACATTATAAGAAAGAGCGTATGTGGGCTTTTGTCTGGATAAGAATGTTCAAGGCTTTAATTGGCAAACTTACCAAATTTAGAAAGAGAAGGATTGAAAACGTCATGTCTGTAGATTTGGGCATTCTGACTGTTGAAGAAGAGTGCGTGGGACCTGACTATCCCATACCTGCACAATCCTTGCATGCTTTCCCGAATAGTCTAGTGTTGACCACTGTCTGAGAAAGAGTCTTAGTGATGAAGGGAACCGCAGAGCTTCTGGAGGACCTGCCTAGTTCCTCCCTGTGGCAGCGCATTTGAAGGTGGAGATGGTAGTGCTCGAGAGGCTTGTGCTTGGATTTTTATTGGCATGGAGGACTGTAGGAGCCAGCAAACCTCTATACAGCAGTGGATATGGAGAAAGGGTTTTAGATGCGATACATGTGAGCGTGATAAGCAGTGATGCTGTCTAGGGTGGTGCTTGATACTCTCCGAGAGAACGTGTGGGTGTGGAAGTGCCCTTCACATGCCCTGGGAATGCACTGGAGTGCTTGTTCTGTTCGGAAAGTTTTACTATCTTTGAAAGACATAATGGTCTGAAATGGTTGTGTGGGGCGTGTGGAATCCAGTGGAGAAGGTGGGAATGTCTGGTGTGGGGAAGGCCAGAGAGCTGCAAGAGTAACAGTGTGAGACCCGCAGTATTTGCAGTGAGAGGCGCGAACGGATGTGTGCGTTTAAGGGGGGAACGTAACAGCAGTTATCAAAGAACAGTGAATGAGGGTGCAGGGTCAGCACCCCATCGCTGCAAGCTGGGAGGCAGGGGGAGCAAGTGCATGCAGTGATTCTTACCTGTAGGCCAGTGTTTGAGTTTCAGCTCCCCTCTCACCTGCTCGGTCTGATCTGGAAGTCAATGGCAAAACTTACTTGGAAAGGGCAGTGATCTGAGTTTTTGCTTTTAATGCCATCTGTTTGTCTTCTGAAGCTACCGTGGGATGCACAGGCCTGTGACCTGAGGTCACAGGTAGTACTGCTGTGATCAGCAACATCTTTTAACTAGCAACAGCTTTTGTCATCTGTTCAGGAGCAAAAATGTCAGCTCCCTAAATGTAGAAATTCAGTGTATTTACTTTTCCAGCCTTGGTGATCTTTCTGGTTTGCCTTGTTCATTTTTCTTACTGCTATTTTATATTTAGCTTCTTGATTGAAATATCAGGATCCCCTCTTAGGGCTAAACATTTTTCTTCTCCTTCAAATCAGGTCTTATAATTACTTTTTTCTTTTCACTACAAATTGCTTCTCTTTTTTTTTTTTTTTCCTAACTTACTTCCCATCCCCCTCAAAAAAGTAAAGTCTAGAAAATATAATTATGTTATAAACATTGAACAAATAATATTACCTGCTTGTCATGCAAATCTCCGTGGCTTGCTTTGGTTTCTGGTCCATCCTAATTTGCATTTCTAATTTACGTTTGAGCTCCTTAGATATGGATCCTCACTGTTCTAAATGTTGCAAGTGTCAAATGTCATTGGTTAATATATTAAGAGTCACAATTAATTGCAGCAATATCCACACCCTGCATTATTGTTTTTCAAAAGATTAAATTTTTGCTTTCACAGTTCTAACTACCCACGACCTACATGCATTTAACAGATACTTAAAATAATACACACAGTGTGATACATGGCTCACATTTCCCATTCTGCTTTGCATTTTAGGGTGGGAGATAAAATGGTTCTGTAGTTTGGAAAGTGAGGGAGGCAGAACTTTAACTTCTAGGCAGTTAGCTAGTGGGGACATAGCACATCTTTGTGAGAGCAGAATAAGCTTGCTTACCCTGTATTTCCAATTATTTTGTTTAATGTATTCCGGTTTGTCCCTACTTAAAATATGGAAGACTTCAAAATAAATTGTTTACAGAAATTAGTCAAGGAAGTGGCAATTCTTGCTCCTTAATATCATTTTTTGAATAGTATATTCTATAGTTACATCCATTCAACATGTGTTTTAGGATCGGGAGGGAGGTATCTGAGAGGGAGAACGAGGTTCTGCGCATGGGCAAGTGCTCCCTGACCAGACATTCCTTTGTTGGCGATGTATTGCTCTAAAAGAAGCAAGAATAAAAACTGATTCTGCTATAAATGGTCCTTGAGTGGCAGCTGCTGACATGGTAACTTTTTTTGCAAGTTGAAGTTGTTCCCTTTAGCTCTACTAGTCTGTGTCATCAGAGTTGTTATCTGGTTTTGATCCCGTTTGATCTGACAGTTCTGATTTTTCCTCAAGTTGTCTGCTCTGAACAGCTTACCACCTTGTGGGAAACACTGCACTCTTCATCGGGCGGGCTTAGATAACTAAAAGCAAAATAAAACATTTCATTTTGTTGTTACATTTTTTCATTAAACAAGTCTAATGCCTGAGATTTGGGTCATATAAATTATTGTCTGAGCTCAGATGGCTTCAGAAAGCACAGATAAATCCATGTGGTTGGTTGCAGAGGATTTTTACGTGAGATACGGAGCTGCCTCTCAGGGAACCCTCTTTCCAACCCAGTTGTTGAATAACAGTTTTCTGTGTCTAAAACGTGCAGCTGACTTTCAGTGTGGCAAAAGGAAGGAGGATCCTAAGTGGCTGCACTTCAATCTGTCAGGGATTCGCTGGCAGGCGGCAAGTGCTTGACTAAGATCCCTTGGTCCAGGTCCACCTCAGTTGTTTTCATTATTGCTTTCTCCATGTAAAAGGACAGAAGAGCTATCCCATTCTGCACCTCAGGAATTGAAGCCCTGGGTAAAATGGTTGATTTTTGTCTGCTCTGCTGTCTAGCCCATGCCGTGTCCAAACCCTTTCCCAGGCTGTAGAGTGGAGTAGAAATCAGAGGATGTTTTTTTTCCTTCCTGCAGCTTTGGCATGGCAGTGAAGAATGTCATACTATCTAGGAGACAAATGTGTTTTAACTGCCACCTCCCCACAAGAAGTTCGTTCTTGGTTCAGACTCCTTATTGTCTTCCAGAATCTAATCTGAATTTCCCTTCCCACTCACATTTGGTTCTTGCCTGTTCTTCCGTTCCCGGCTTTGTAACTATTTGTGGAACCCGCAGATCAATCATCTTTCACTTGATACCAAGATAAAGATGCTTGCCTCTTTCCATACGGCACCCGCTTCCTGCGGCCGTTTTGGTGCAAGCCTCCTGGTCTACCGAATGGATACTAGCTAATTTGTAAAAATGCATTGTCAGAGGAAAATATTAAAACATACATTTTTAGATGTTGATGCAGAAATCTTGTTTACGTCATGTGACTTTTCTTTCTAAATCAGATCATTATAAAGCTTCCCTGCTCCATGTAAGACCATTGACTTTGAGAGCTCCAGGTATTTTCACATAGATCACTCGTGGATGCTCCAGGAGGGAGTGAGAGTTGCCTGAGCTGCCAGGTGCTGCCTGTTCTCTCAGCGGTCAGCAGCGCTTACTTGTGTATCTGGAATTGCTGTGCCAGCACTGACCGTTCAGTTGCCCCTCTGGGAAAATCAAGGCTGGGAAATTTTGGTGTAAAAGACTCCTTCCTACACACATGTTGGACTACTGGGTATTGCAGAGCCATAGACCAGCCAATGGACAAAGCAGTGGGGGGAGTTTCTTGCTCAGTTCACATCATCCCTGAACTCCTGCGCTTGTCTTTGTTGTCCTCAATCTTCCTTCACAAAAGAAAATTTCCCTGATGTGCTCAGAGTGACTGAGTGACTCAACTACTTTGGGTTTTGTTGTGCAGAGCAAAAGGTCTTGGTTTTCATTTTTGAGGTGTATTAGATCTCCAAGTCCTAAGCAGAGGAAAGTCTGTATCATACTTTGGCATTTAGCATCATTTAAAAGAAAAATACTTCTTTACACCTTCACAGTAATGTGTCAGAGACTTACTAGTTCAGTTTAGGAAACTCTTTGGTATAGTCTTGAGTGCTTTTGTACTCCCAAGAGTTGTTTGTGAAGGGTATTTTCTGGTCTTGTTGACTCTGTTGTATGAATACAAAGAAAGGCTGGAACCTCAGCCAATGTAAACCTGGCTCTGCAGGCTGCATTGAGCAGCACCAGTTTACACCAGCTGAAAGTCTTTCCCAAAATTTAATCACACGGAAGAAAAAGGCATGTGGAAGTAGTACCGCTTTGGTAATTGCACTGGCTTGGTCCCCACCATTCAGGAGTGACGGCTTTTCCTTTCCTGGCAGTGAGCCACTGTTGTGCTGACGGCTCTGGAGAAGAGATTAAAAGCAAAGAGTGGGTTAAAATAGAGTGGGAATGAGTCCCTTGGCACCGTACCTCGGGGTGGGTTTGAGAAACGCAGTGGCAAAAGTCAGCTTGTACTCCCTCAAGCAGGAGTGACCATCAGGACAGTGATCTTTAGTAAGGGATAAAAGGCCGGTTTGAGAGAAGACACAGGCACTCCTAAGCCCAGAGGCACCAAGATCAGATGGAGATTGCTCAAATTTTTGCAGTTCCCCGTTTGCAGCCTGTGCTGGGTGTGGCATTAGCATGGTATATCCTACAAAGGTTGGGATTCTGCCTGGTCCTCCATTTGTTTCCTGTAGGCAGGGTGAAGTTGCACATGGCTGAGCTGACCTGTAACTGTTACTGTCCAAAGGGCACCTGTGCTCCCTTTCCTCCTTGCCCTGGGTCTGACACTCACCTTGATCCCATGGTAAGGTGATTCAGCTCGCTACCTTGACAGAAAACTACTGGCTTCTTTTTTTCTGGTCTTTGTTTTGCTGATTTAGTGAGTTACATTGGTTCAGCTTAGAGATAGGTAATTGCTTGCGTTAACACATGCCAGGAAGGCAAAGTCCAAAGGAGGGGATGTGTTCTGTTTGGTGGTGGTGAGCCATTAGACTACACCTAACTTGCCTCCTAGGTGGTAGTTTCACAAGCACTTAAAAACAGCAGGAACTGGCCCCCGCTGCTGAGATGCTTGCTCCTCCCTGTCTCCGCTGTGGTTCCCAACTTGTGCCACCGTATCTGTCGGCCATTGTGAGTGATTATGTGTGGAACCAGCAGGGGAAAATAACCTGGATTAAAATAATTATTTAAAAAAAACATAAAATGTGAGTTAGTTTTAATCTATGTCAGATTTCCAGTCTAGCTTATTGCACAAGTACTGGAGCCAGTGCAAGCCAAAGGGTGCAGCTGCACAGAGGGCAGTTGGGACGGTCCTTTCGCCCATGTTCTCCCTGTCGGAACGGCTCGTCTACCACTGTACTCTCTTAGCAGCTTCAAGGAAAACTCATTTTCACACGGAAGGGTCTAAGCAGACCCTCACAGCCTATATTCTCCTAATCATCTGGAATACATACTCCCTGGCACAGGGCTTTCAGAGTTGTCCAAGCTGATCTCTTGCACAGCACAGAGCAGAGGATGTTGTAGACGAACTGTACGTCAGCCGGAGGCGTTTTGGCAGAGATAAATCTATCCACTGCAAAGACGCTAAGGGAGCCAGTCCTGTCCGTAGGCAAACTGCTTTAATGGTTAATTAGCTTCACTGTAACGTAGTTAACCCCCCAGACTGGGTTTTCTAGCGTTAATTTACAGCCACCAGATTTGATGTCTGCCTGCTAACATAAAATAACTAACACTTCAGTTATTTTAATTTATTCAGTGCCTTACTGTCACACTCATTGTTCAGGAGGAACATATGGTCATCATTGTGATTATTTTCTCTAAATAGTGTCGTCTTTCCCCACTTTCTTCCTTCTGCACTACTGTTTTATTTCCATTTTGCAAAAAAGATTTATTTTCACCTCCTTTTACATTGCATTATTGGCAGTCAAATAGTTAATGTTGACATTTTAAGTCAGTGGTAGACTTGGACATAAGCAATAAAGCACATGCTGGCACAGAGCAATGCATGTTGCTGAGCTGTGGTTTATGACTGACGTTTATATTTGCATTGAACTTAGGCTCGGGAGGGTACAACACTGTGGTTAAAGTTTATATTCTGGAGAATCTGACTGCATCATGTCGACTAGGTAATCTGGTCGCATTTAATTATTGTTGAAAAGCTGCATTTATTTCGGTGTTGTTTTTTTGTTTTTTTTTTAAACTGACTGAAAATTTCAGGTAGTTATTTTGTTCTCATGGAGAGAGGTTGGAGTTGAATGAGAAGAAAAAAGCATGGAGGAAGCTGAAAGCTACTTAGCCTTAAATGCCTATCCCAGAGGAGGCGGCCGAAGCTCAATTTTCTGTGTTGTCAGTAGGATAGATTGCTTCTTCCTTGGGCTGGATGCGTACGGCTGGGATCAGTTTGTCCTGAGCTGAGGGAGTGGCTGATGAAAGAGCTGCTGAAACTGCTAAGTGACGTTTTCTGTGAAAGTCTTTAGGATTATATAAACTTGGATTAACTGTGCGAGGGTGGAAGTTTCTCCTCAGTCATTTTTGAGCCAGCTGTGTTTTAAAACTGTATTCATAAACTTACCCACTTGAAAACTCGTTATTTTCTTTTGGTTTTGCCTTTGTTCCTATTACCTTGTCCAAAAGCTGCTCCAGGATTGCACTGCTCGGATAGAAGGATTCTAATTTCTAGGCAGAGTTTATTTCTATGTGATTTATCCCTATTTCTTTTGCCAGCGTTGTCCTTTATCTCACCACCTTTCTTCTCCAGGGCTTATCCCTTTCCTCTTCACCTTGGCAAATAGGGTAGAAGAAGACAACAAAGCACTTTGCTGAAGGTGCGGAGGAATTGGCTTGGAATGTTGTGGGTATTTTAAAAAGATTACTTATGACGGTGTCTGCAGAATTCTTCCCAAACTGGATCTTTCGAAGCTTAGAAATCAGGCCTTCCAGACCATGAGACTAATTGGAAAAAATAAAAAGGGCAATTGAAATGATGCTTCTTTGTGGTGTTTGAGCCATTAGAGTGGATCTGGATTTGAGATTTCCTAGTAGCAAGTTGTAGGAACTAATTTTTTTTTTTGTGAAAGCTGCTAGTTTCATGCAATCACTTATGCCCAGAGAGTGGGCTTTCAGGAAGGAAGCCAATTATACCTTGCAGAAATAGGCAGAACTACGTTTGTAAATGATTGGTAAGTCTAAACAACTGCAGACTGAGGGAATTGGCACCCGTTTGGGCCCAAATTTATATTTCAGTGAGTCTTGCCTTTATTACTACTTAACAAAACTTACGCTAAATTTTCTTCTGACCAAGGTTGTTTTTATTTTTTTTTTCCCTGCACGCCATCAGTCCCTGTGCTCTGACCACTATTATATCTTGAGAAGGAGCAGAAAGGAACTACCTGACAACGTGAGTCAGCAAAAATCATCTACGTCATTGTGCAGGGTTTTTGGGGCTGGACGACAGCGTTGCAGCAGGGGTCCGGCATTCCCTGTTTGTAACTCTAATACAGGAGAGGGTGCATGAGCCCGTTCAGGAGCAAGCTCCAGTGGCGTTTGTGCCAGTGATGGCAACATCCCAGAATATAACAACAGATTCTCTGAAATGCATTAGTGCTTTAGGGAAATGATTTAGGAGAAGGGTGCTTGCTGTGAGGAGTTTGCAAAGAAAGAAGGATTTAAGAATATGATAAGAAAATGCAGACAGATGTGAGGCAAATGGTTTATAATACGTTGTATCTCCTGTCTGTGATTTCTGTAGTCTCTTGTCTTCTGTGCCTTGTACATCGTCTGTCCATCGGGTCTAATTGCCTTTAGCAGAAATTTTCCCCACAAGCAGCGACTGAGTCACTTGGTGCACATTTCCTCTCCCTGTTTTAGTACGTGAGCTTGAGTGAAGTAAGAAGTCAGCAGACCTGTGTTTTCCAAAGATGGCTGTGTCTGAACCATGTCACATTGAAAATGTAACCTTTAAAAGAAGGTCAGGGAATAGAAGTTGCTCGATGCATGGGATAGATGTTAGTGTCACAGTAAATTCAGTGGCATGGGATGCAGAAGTACCCATTTCTCATTAGTTCAGAATTTTCCCAGAATTTTCCCATTGGGTATCTTGCTAAAGCTTTTAAATTGGTCAGCGATGTGAAGCTGTTTGCTCATGAGATGAATCATCATTAGTCATAAAAGATTCCTTGCCTTGAAATGACTTCCCGTTATGAAATAAGAGAGAAAAGTAGAGAGGAGAACACATTTCGGTCTCACTCCTGTTAAAGGATGCCTGGGAAAGGAAATCCAAGTTTTATTTTATTTATGAAACGCTTGTTTGATTGATTCCTTTAAAGTGATTGGAATTTTAGCAATAACTTTTCCCTAATGCTGGTGTGTCTTCCATCAAAGCAATTAGTATAAAGCAATTGATAAAGTGTTAGTATACGTTGACTGGCCTTTTTTTAAGAGTAGTGGGGTTATTCTAATATCCTCTCCTGTTTATAGGTTGTCCATGGGTAATTGTGGTTAATCGTTCTTGTGGACTCAGTGAGCTGCGTACAAAACCAGAGACATCCCAACCTTCCTCTGCTTTTGGTTGCAGGGAGCGGGGACTAACGGTATTCGGCTGACCATGGAGAGCGCTCTGACGGCCCGCGACCGTGTGGGGGTGCAGGATTTTGTCCTGCTCGAGAACTTCACCAGCGAAGCAGCGTTTATTGAAAACCTGCGTAAGCGCTTCAAGGAGAATCTGATCTATGTGAGTAGCAGAGTGACAGAAGCCAAAGTGTTCGTCAGTCACCTGAATTTGGGCGTTTGCTCCAGAAGACATACCGTAGCTTAGCTCTGCAGTTGGATTTAGAGATGGTGGTATCAGCTTTAACAGGCCATGGTTGCTTGTGTCAGAACTTGTCTGGGATACTGTCATGTTAACGGATGTAGGGACTCATTTGCAGCGCTCCAGCTGAGGCCTTGCCAGCACTAAAAATCCAACTTGCACCACATTCTTCCGTTTCACGAATTCACTCTGTGGTGGGCTTTCAGCAACGCCAGGCTTGAACTTGATCCCAAATGGTATATTAGAAATAATCCCGTTTTCTTGCTTGTTAAAACTGCTTCTAGGTGCTGTTTTTTCAGCAAGGATCACATGTCTAGCATAACTCCTGCAAAGTCGTTCTCATTGCGCTAAGAGGTTGCTTCTTCAGCACCCTTGGCCTCTTTGGAAGCCCTCAGCAGCATCCCCAGCGCACCGCCGCAGGCAGCCCTTGTCAACAACATACGGCCTTCAGAGCAGCCTGGGCTCTCAGAGAATCTGCTGCCAGACCTTCTGTAACCTCTCTGCTTTGTGTTCTCTTTTTCAGACATACATTGGCTCCGTTCTGGTGTCTGTTAATCCATACAAGGAACTGGAAATCTACAGTAAACAGAACATGGAGCGATACCGTGGTGTCAGCTTCTATGAAGTTTCTCCTCACCTGTGAGTGGCCTGTGGGTAAACAGCGCAGTTTGTGCCATTCCCACACAGGCGTGTGCAATAATGACGTGTGAAAACAAGCAAATAGGACTTTTCCTTGTCCCAGAGGCAGCACTAAAAAATCATAGGGATATAAAGGATCCTTTGGAGGGTGTGGTGTACGGCTCTTTCTATTCCTGTTCCTCTCTCCAAAGAGGATAAGTTGCGTTTGCAAGAGCAGTATTTGGAAAGGGAGTTGGTTCCTTCCTGGCTGGAGGAACAGCGCTGCTTACCGAGCCCTGGCAGGACAGGAGTTCATTGTTCCAGGGTTACTTGGGGTCTGCGTGTCCAGGCTGTGAGTTTCCCCTGCTGCTACATCGCTCATTCAGCA